TAACACCAAAATATATTTTAGCTGAATAAAATCATAGTTTTAACTTTTAAATCAGATATATCCGTTTTGATGTTAGATCAAATTAGTTTTATTTATATAACATGATAAACATCTACTATAAAGTTTTTCACCACATTATTTGCAATTTAGAAAAAGAAAAGTATATTTCTTATAGTTTCCCCGAATAATTTCTCTGTACTATTTTGACTTACTGACGTCAGAAATGAAACTGTATAGTGAAGGTCAGGTCAAAAAAATAGGACCTCTGTTTTGTGATATGTTTTTTCTCTTATTATTCAGGAAAAAAATAAACGAACAATTAAGCTATTATTGGATTGCCAAATTAAATTAGAAAAAAAAAATGATCAAACCAACTATTGATTCCAACTAGTATTAATTTTGGAATCAGAATCGATATTTTTAATGATAATTAATAAAGCATCTGAAGAAAATAATTGTAATAATTTTGTTTTATATCATAACTAATTGGACATATGCTAAACGCCAAGTAATGTATCTAATTAAAAAACAATTAGCAGCCAATAGATATCCACCACATACTAAAAAAACAATTAAATAGCTATTGGAACACAGCTTTCTCAAATTATTTATGTCGGTTTGCTGTTGCCATTTTAATTAGTTTTGGGTGAACCGGTTGAAGTTTTCTTTAAGGTGTTTTAAAAAGAAAATTAAATTTATTGTAAAATATATGTATAAGAGGTGAGATTTGTGTGTACGTAAATATATATGTGTGTATATAATATAATAAGTATTTGATGCTTAAGTAAGAAGCGAAAGTTAGAGAGAAGAGAAAATCTTNTTATTATTATCTCCATTACAAGGAGTAACACTCCTTTATATAGAAAGTGTAAATTAATAAAATATTAGATCACTAAGTCGGCAAAGATATGTTAATGATGAAGTAACTATAATGGATAAGTATTATCTATTTACCACATGGATAATTATCCTTTTATAATACTCCCCCTTAATTATCCATTTTA